CCTTGCCACCTTCCTGAGCCAGGTGCGTATCCTGAACCATGTGACGTGGAAGAAGATCACAGAACTTGAGCATGCAGCAACCATTGCCAGCAAACAGACTGTAAGTGTGGATCCCAAATCCATGGAGACCTTTGCAGAGCTTGGGTGCTGCTGTTTGTATCTGAAATATGCTGATTAATCCATTTTATTCTGGAGACTTTTTTTCTTTTTTTTTTCCGCCGGGGCTTGGGAAATTGCAACCTGGGAATGTAACAAAAATGTGGGAATCCTTTCAAATTTGATGAAATATGTGTCTGTGATTGTCTCTCTTTAGCAGTAATAGATTCTCAGATGCTCCTGTCATGTGCCAGTGTATTTTGGGTGTAGGTGGTGGCTGCATTACAGATTTGGGTGTGCAGCCGATGGCAAACTGGAAAACTGAACAGGAGAGATTTGTCTCAGCTTCATACAATTCGTAACTTTAAACAGTGCTGGAACTGGATTGTGTTCAGATTTTCCATCCTGTGTGGACAGGCTCATCCAGCTCACCTAAAGGGCATTTCCTGGAACATCTGTCAGCATTGATTTTTATCCTTTATACCTGCAAGGTCTGACAGATTCTGGGCTGTTGGCAGCAGGTGCAGAGCTGCTGTTCCCAAAATCCTGAGTTGATCTCATCCCTGGAGCTAACAAGAACAGTGTGTGGTGCCGTTTGCCATTGCAGAGGACCTGAACAGACCTCCTGCAAGAGTCTGTGTGTGGATTATAAGCCTACAATATTCACATGACTCTGCCTCTCAACCAGAAGCCAGGCACGAGCCATTAAAGCACCTCAGCAAAGCTACTCGGGGCTGAAAAATGCCTTAACTTCCAGTTAGGTGTAAAATATGTCATGGAAAACAAATGGAAATAGCTTTGTTAATCTCCACTACACAGACAGGAATTGCAGTTGCTGTGTTTTATCCTGGTGCTTGTGTTTGGGAGTATGTTGCAGGCACACTAAAATATTTTTGCTATTTTCCTTCTGCAGCAGTGCACTTTGTTTCTGACAGAATCAGATTAAAGATTTTTGGTTGTAAAAATGAGATGTTCCCACTGTAATGGGGATGATTTAATTTGCTGTCAGAAATAATGAACGAGGTGCACTCCCTCAGGCTTTTTCTTCAGAGTGTTTTTCCTGATCGTGGTTCCAAATGGCCCATGATTCCCTGGGAATACTGGATTCCAGATCTGCCTACTGAAGCCCTTTCCTCTGCTCATGAACCAGGGGATACTGAGATGTACTAAATGTGCAAATGAGCCAGTGGGATGTGGGTTTTTGGTAACACCCCATGTCCAAACTCTCCGAGGCCCTTCTGTAGAGCTCTCACTTGTTTCTTTGTAGATTGTGTATAAAGAAGTGGAGAAATCCCCAACTGTTGGCACAGAGAGACTTTCTTTCCCTCCAACAAGAGAATTGGCTAGTTCTCTCTTCAGCACACAGAGTAAATGTAAGCCAAAGTTTACTCAAACCAGACACTTGAGTTTGCCTTGGGAAGTCTTTAAATAAACATTGTAGGTGAACTCTGCCCCTTGGACAGTGGAACAGATCCTCTGGATGTTCTCTAGGGCAGTAAAAATCAGTCTCAGTCTTTGTGGCACTGTAAATCACCTTTGGTTGACAGTATTTGAAACACTAGTTAAAAGGTAGTAGAAAAATTACTCTCCTAATTTCCCTGATTTAATCTCAGTCTTGCCTGAATTTCCAGCCTTTCCTTTTCTGTAGGGGGGCAGGAATAATAGTAGGGTGGCTGTGTGAAGATGTAGTATCTTAAAGCAATTGAAATTTTGATTAGAACATCTTGGAGAAGAGCAAAATATGGTCCTATCACTTCAGAGATTAGGGGTTTTAACAGTTGGATGTAATTGCATTGTCCATCCAGGCTCACTTAGTGAAATGCTTTTATTTCCCATTCCAGATGACATTTCCCAGGTGCCAGTTTCTTTACAGTACATCAAACCAGTTGCTGACAGGGCAAATCCCAAAGTGGGAGTCGGGATGTTGGCCTTCAGTGCAGATAACTGTTTCCTGGCAACCAAAAATGGTAAGTTCCGAGTGCCCTGCCTTAGAGGGGAAACATGTGGGGCATGTGGGGGCTTTCCTTAGCAGAAGTGATCCTTTACACTATAAAAAGAGTCATGGCCCTGTAGAATCAGCTCTGTTGTGAGATATATAACTACAGAGGAATCCCAGCCTGTCTTCTAGTGTGTGTTAACTGTTGTGAGATGCCAGAACTGGTGATCAGGGCATGAACTCAGCCTTGGCTCTGTATTTAATGAAAACAGGGGGGGGTTTATATTTCTTCAAGTTTGTGTGAGCTCACTGTATTGAAAATGAAAAAGTTCTTCCCACTTACAGCCTGGGTCTCTTAAAAGACAGAACTTTGCACAACCTGTAGCAGGAGGAATTCTGACTTCTTGAATAGTGAAAATCGTGGAATTAATGTTCCATTTTTCCCTTTGGTCCTGAGGGGCTGTTTGTGTCTGGATGCCAAAGCTCTGGGTCAGGTGTAAAACCCATCAGACAGATTAATGTGATAAAAGCCAGGGAAGGACTGGGAGATGGACTAGACCACTTTTACCTTCTTTTGCAGTATTTCCTGAAGGCTCTGCTTGGCAAAACTCAAGTGGTGCTAACCCTGGGGCGTACCTAAGGATTTGTGTCGTACGAATTTGTTTATTCCTGTGCATTTAGAAAAAACACACACGATCCTTTTATCCTCCAGCTATCACACAGCTGCTGCTTCCTCTGCAGATAACATTCCCAACGCTGTGTGGATCTGGGACATCAGGAAGCTGAAGCTGGCAGTGGTGTTGGAGCAGCTGTGCAGCATCCAGTGTTTCCAGTGGGACCCCTGCCAGCCCCGCCTGGCTGTGTGCACGGGCAGCAGCAGGGTGTACCTGTGGTCCCCAGCTGGCTGTGTCGTCGTGCAGGTGCCTGGGGAAGGTGAGCAGCAGCTGCCACAACCCCTCAGCACCTGCTCAGTTGTTGGAAACTTGGTTGCTGAGAATTTTAGACTTTCTGTGCTCACAGGCACTGACCCCCAGGTGAACACTGCATTGACCTCAGGTCGTGGAGAAGCTTCCAAAATGGAATGATAGAACTGGGATTGTGGGTGTAGTTTGAATAGAAGTGTGTGATACCACAGGGTGGAAAACTTAAGAGTTTAAGGGTTTAGAATATAGTAATATATATAAAGCAAGGTGGAGGTTTTAGAGTGGAGGCTGGTCCCTCTCCTTTTCCCCCCTCCTCTCCTTTTCCCCCCTCCTCTCCTTTTCCCCCCTCCTCTCCTTTTCCCCCCTCCTCTCCTTTTCCCCCCTCCTCTCCTTTTCCCCCCTCCTCTCCTTTTCCCCCCTCCTCTCCTTTTCCCCCCTCCTCTCCTTTTTCCCCCTCCTCTCCTTTTTCCCCCTCCTCTTCTTTTTCCCCCTCCTCTCCTTTTTCCCCCCTCCTCTCCTTTTTCCCCCTCCTCTCCTTTTTCCCCCTCCTCTCCTTTTTCCCCCTCCTCTCCTTTTTCCCCCCTCCTCTCCTTTTTCCCCCTCCTCTCCTTTTCCCCCTCTCCTCCATGGGTTTGGGTGGTATTGTGTAATTGGACAAAAAGTCCACATTGTGAGCCAATGGTGGTTTGTCATTGGGTTAAAAATAAAAATAATTTAGGTGTAATTTCTTAATTAGACAGTTTATCCTTAAAAGGTCTTGTAGAGAGAGAGATACAGCTCCATTTTTAGTTTGTTAGAGTGAAGTGCTGTGGAACTCAGGGTTTGTGAGACTGTAACAGAGATAAGAATAAACATCTGGATTCCAACAAGAAATACCATCTCACGATTTAATCCCAGCCCTGACAGAACAGAAGCAAAGATCCAGATTCAGTGAAAAATATTATTCCATTTATAAATTGATCTGAGTGTTATGCTGGAAATAGCTCAGGTGTGTCCTTGGAGCTGTTTAAAAATGGGTGTTCTCTCCCTCAGGCAAAGAGGAGTTCATAGTGAGACACAGGAAATGTCTCAGGGACAGCACGGGGCCCGCAGGGATTTGTGTGGCTGATTCCAGCTGCCTTTCCTCCAGCAGGAGGATGGGCTGCCAGCTCCTTCCTGACACACTCTGATCTCTTCCTCCAGGTGTCTTCCAGATCATTTCTCTCTCCTGGCATTCCAGTGGGGACTCCATGCTGCTCCTGAGTAAGGACAACTTCTGTGTGTGTTACTTGGAAAGAGAAGAGGTAAAATAAAATAACTAAAATGCATTAAAACTGCTCCCAAGTCTGAGGAAGAAAGAGGAAAGGAGTGAAAACCTGTTGCCCAGTCTGAAGTGTTTGTATTTATAAGTTATTTATTTGAAGGAGCTCCAAGCTCAGTGTGTGGAATACTGTGACTGCATTTGAATGAAGTGATGTAACAAGTGAAATGTAAGGAATGAGTCTCTATTGCAAGAAAACCTGAATCTTGAGGGAGTTGATCTTTTTCAACTCTGAACCCTTATTTTCTAAAACTGTAGCTCTGTGTATATATAATGTATAGCTATTATTTAAATTTTCTATTTCCAATAAATATTTTGATAGTTACAAACTATAAACCTGCACCTCTGCACTTGAAAGTCTGTTTCAGTGTGATCAGTGATGTGATGATGTAGTGATTTATCCCAGCACAAGGAAACTGTTACTTGCACACAAATAATTTTGGGTGACAGTAACTGTGCCTGGGCCACCATGGATTTATTACATGGAATCTTTGCCAGAGGAATCACAACTGACACTTTGAGATGCTGGATTACAGGTAACTGAAATGTGAATTTTTGTCCCAGCTCTGGTGCCAAATAGGAGTGGATGGTTTGGCAGGGAAGGAGCAGTTGGATATCCTTCCTCCTTGTTTTCCCCTGTTCTTCCAAGGATGGAATCTCTTCTTTAGGAATTTACTGGATGTTTTTTCTTTTATTACCTTATTTCATAGTCTCAGTCTCCAGAAAATGAACAACAAATACCACGTAAGAGTTGAAATTTTAACTTTACTGCAAGGTTAATGAAAATTGAACAAGTAACTTAGGAAATGCATGGAGAAGCTTGGAAAGCTGGAGTCAGGACTGACTGCAACAGGAGTTTCACAAACACCCACCTACATTAAGGTCAAAAAACCCCACCACTGCAGCACAGTGTTCATCCAGCAGATAAATGCTCTGATGAAAGGGCATGGAGAGAAGGTCATGCACAAGGAAAAAGCTCGTTAGAGTCACCTCCTGAGCAATTACAGCTGTAATCTCTTGGGCTGCTTCTGAATTTCATCCCTGGATGAGGTTTGGTGCAGGAATGTATGAACCAAGGCTGACACACAGTGTTGGAAGTTTTCTCTGTCTCCATTAAAAAGTCCTGGCCCAAACTAGAGTGGATTTAAGAAAAATGGCTGAGAGTATCAATCTAACCAAAATAGAATTCCTTTTCAGTTCTACAAAGAACAGCTTTGAAGGCAAACGTGTTTGTGAGGCTTTTGGCAATGTTCTCTCACAACAGTCTTTATTCTGTAGCTGCAGCAAAGGAACAGAAGTAGAGAGGAAGTTCGAGTAGGTTCTTAAGAGGGATTTTTACAAGAAGCTCAGAAATGCATATTGAGTTCACAAGCTGCTGCTGAGCAGGTGGAACAGTGCAGCTTTAGCAAAAGCTAGCAAATACAGTTAAAGACTGACTGACAGCTTTGAAAATTCCTAACAGGCATTAATCAGAGCACTGAGATCATAGTGATTGGAACAGCAATTCCTCTTAAACGACACAAAGCAGTCCCAAGCACACGACAGGATTTGACACCGTACACAGGGACACAGCAGGGCCATGGCACAAAGGTTCTGCTGTGCACTGGGGGTTTCAGCAGGTTCCAATGGCACTTCATGGACTGGGGAGAGCAGGCACTGGGACACAGAACACACCACAGCTCATTCACCCTGCGTAAGGACCAGTGAGGGCTGTAAATCAAGTACAAAATACAAGGATGACACCACCCTGCTTCAAATCCAACCTGTGCATTCCCCAGACAACCTGGGAACTGTCCTACAACGTCCCCCTTTCCTTTCCTTTCCTTCCCCTGGTGACTTTGCTTCTCTGCCCTCAGCACCCTCTCCCCAGGGCACCACCAGCAAGCCACTTGCCCTTGAATAGCTGATACACAGAGGGGTTTAAAATCCAATTTTGCCTCTTGTCATGGAGTAGCCCAGCTTGGCCTCGTTGTTGATGAAGGACATCAGTCCCAGGTAGGTCTCGATGAGGATGGGCCGCTCCAGCACCAACACCCCGTTAGTGCTTCCTGGCGCTGGGCCCTCCTTGTGGGCTTTCTTCACAGCCTGGATCAGCTGTGTTTGAAAGTTTTCCAGCTGGAAGAAAAGAAATCACCTTGCTTTTGCATTGTTTTGCAAACTGTTAAGCAGCAGCTGATAGACAATGGTGAAGGATTAGCATTAAAGCTGTAGCTGTCACGGCTCTATGGGCTGTGATAGTCACAGTCTGATATTTAACCTCAGTGATTCAGTTAATTTCACACAGGACACTGCTGATGGGTGACTTAAACAGGGAAAGATTTATCAGTGACCAGGTGTTTATTTCTGACTGTGGTTCTGCCCTGCTCACTGATGTGTTATGCTTAATAGTGTTCTAATTTTAGGCAAACCTTCAGAGGGAAGCAGCTGTTACAGAAAGGACTGAGAACCACCTTGGTTCAAGGTTTTCAGTGAGCAATTAAAGTGTCTGTTAATTAGCTGGCAGTCCTAGATGAAAAGTCCATCAGCCTGTCAGGTAAGTAAGAGCAGAAACAGCCCAAGATCCATTTGCTTTTGGGTTTTGCAGGACTCTTTACCTTCAGTTTTGGCTTCCTCTGTTTCAGCCAGTTATGTGTGGCTGGCAAAAATAGGCAGTAGGGCTACCTTACAAGTCAAAATTTGGAGACTGGGGAGATGGAGCTCCAAATTCTACCTCTGATGTAACTGATTTTGTTTGATTAATCGATGTATTGCTTAAAAAATAATCCAAGTTGTGTCCACCCTACGAGCTCCTTACCCGGCACAGGGACGAGATCTTCTCATCAGCATCTGCCATGGGGTGCTCGGTGAAGGTCACGTAGGGGATGTTGGTGGACCAGGGGTTCCACCTGTTGATGAAGGAGGCTCGGCTTTGCTTGTCCCACTGGATGCGGATACCGACACCTTCCCTCCTGATAGTGCAGAATGAACAGGGTAAAACTTGTCTCTGAGCGAGGTTAACTAAAAATGTTCTGTCTGGAAATGACCTACTTGGAACCAGAAGCTCACTTGAAATGTAAGTGATAGTAAATTTTACTGAAGGCAAGAAATGCAGTAATTCAGTCCCTGGAACGTGCAAAGGGACATTCTTACGAGCTAAGAGCAAGAAGGTGAAGCACCTGGGACACCCATCTGACAGCCATCTGTCACAGCCTGTGACAGCTCCTGTGTACAGGGGACCTGCCACTCACAGCTTTCTACTCATGCTAAGGTGGTGCTGCTACTACTTACTGCATTATGTAATGGTGAGGAGTTTCTGCACCCAAATCTACTCATCTTATCTTGAAAGCCTTTGAGCAACTTGCTGTTTGTACTCACCACCCCAGCAAACCAGCAGCTACCCTGAGGTCTTCTAGTAAAGCTTCAGGAATTGTTAGCAAAGTTAAGCAAACAAAAGGAAGAATTCTCTGACCATTCCAGTGGTCAGGCTGACAGCTCAATCTGTTCCCAATACCACGGGCCTGTGGCTGCTTACTTGTTGAGAGATTTGGGTGGGAACACAAACTCCCCCACAGAGATGGTGTCCACGGCGCTGAGGGCAATCCTGGTCACATGCTGGCACTGCAGGCTGATGAAGTTGTACTTGCAGACCAGGAGGGACCAGTCCGTGATGAGGACAAGGCGCTCCTTCTCATTGTTCCAGTGATCGATTCTTGGGGAGAGAACGCGACTGACCTTTAAGTGGTTCTGACTCCTGGCTAGAAACACTCAAGAGCCTGGCAGAAAGAATTGCTGAGGAGAACAAATCTGAAGTCATGGTGATGCTGTATTTTCTGTTACTTTGCTTTGTATGATCAGGGCCAGTGCAGGGCTGAGGGGCTTTGGGACAGTTTCTTAAAGCCATGCCCACACTTTACTGCAGGAGTGCGTTCTTTGTGGGACTGGATTTCCTAAGGGCTCAACTAGGGAGTGAGTGTTGGTCTGGTTATAACGAAATAATGCTATAATGATGGCTGCAGCCAGCCTGGACAATTCCGGGCCTTGTACGCGGAATAATATCCCCGGGTTTAACAGAGAACAGCGCCGTGGGCTGTGCAGCTCTGGCCCAACAACGCGGGGCCGAGGCTGCCCCGGCTCTCGCCTCCCCTGTCCCACCCCGCCGCGGAACTCACTCGGTGAGCAGCCACACGCTCTGCACCTCCCCGTCCTCGGCGGGCAGCACGACCACGCGGATCTCGCTCACGGCCTGCTCGATGGTGCCGGGCTGCGGGGGAGAAGCGGCGGTCAGGCCGGGCGGGCGGGCCCCGCGGCCGCCCCGCGCCGCTCCCGCCGCGCACCCGGAACACGAAGTACCGCCTCAGGCGGCCGGCGCGGCCCGCGGTCCGCACGCTCAGCGGCCGCAGCGTCTGCCGAGCCGGCGGAGCGGCCGGCTCGAAGGGCGGCCCGGCTCCCCCCGGCACCAGCGTGGCGGCCCCGGGGCTGCCGGGGCTGCCGGGGCCGCCGGCCGGGCCGGACTCGTCCGCGTCCCGCAGCTGCAGCATCGCCGGGCGGGCGCTCGGAGCCTTCCGGGGCGGAGCGGGGCGGAGCCGCCGGGGCTGCCTCTCGCTCCGCTCCGCTCCGTGCCGGGAGGCGGCACTGCAGCCCCGGGACCCGGCGGGATGCGGGTGAGGGATGCGGCAGCGCTCCCCGCTCCGCTGGCCCTGCTATCGGCTCTTGTCGTCACACACCGGCGGCCTCCAGGGCTGCACAAAGCCCTGGGTGCTTCACTGTCGCTTGCTCAGAGCTGGTGAGGTACCAGGTACCGGCACTGTCACAGCCAGGGCGGTGCCAGGTGCTGTGACCATCGGACATCTGGTTGTACAAGGTGTCAGTCACTGTCACCGTCGCACAGCAGGGCTATACCAGCTGGTGGGTGCTGTCGCTGTTGCCTGCTCAGCACTGTGTTAGGTACCAGATGCCATCGCTGGCACACACTGGGGTTGCACCAATTACAGGGTACTGTCACCATCACAAACCTGGGGCTGTACCGCATGGTGGGTGCTGTCACCATCCCCTGCCCAGAGCTGTATCAGGTACCAGGTGGTGTTGCTGTCACACACCCGGGGCTGTATGAGGTCCCAGCTGTCACCATCATTGCACACCCAGAAGTGAATGAGCCCTGTCTTAGCCCTGCTGGGGATTTTCAGGGCTCAGACAAGAACCCACACACATCACACAATGTACAGTGGGAGGCCCTGAGCTCAGCCAAAATGATGCTCTGCTCTGCCCAGGTGGTCTGGGCAAGACTCTCATATACCCATACAGGAGCAAGATCTGTGGGTCTACAGAGGCCAGGCAGAGCTGCTGTGAAGCAGGTCTAGGTCAGATGGGCAAGATCCTTAAATATGATCAGGACAGAGCTCAGGAAGGTACCAGAGGAGTGTGGAATAGGGATGGGATTGTGCATGGAGAGACCTGGAGCCCATATCACATCCAGCACACTTGATAGTGAAGATTAAATAATGCTGGGGAATGAATGGCATGTTAATGTTTCAGTTTCTGTGGTCTCTGGCATGACTGCAGATATTATCATCAGTATTTATGGAACTGTATCATATCTTGGACCACTTTCAGGGCTGTTTTTCATGGAGCCAGAGGATGACATCCTCGGCAGGCGGCTGTGCTGGGAAATTATATAAAATTGAAAACATACTAAATTGACTTCACAGACAGGGTAGGGTTTCAGATATCTGTCTTTCACATGTGTCCCATGAATCCCCCACTCTCCATAGCCCTTGCTCACATGGTCCTCTTTAGGTGGGAAACCTCACTACTGGCTTTAGAGGGACTTTCAAAGGACTGCAGAGCTGAGTTTGTGCTGGGCCACTCCTCAAAGCTTTTCCCATTGGACCTTCCCCTTCTCCCTGCAGGCAGCCTGGCCGGGGTGGCTGTGGCTGGGAGAGTGGCCACGCCAGGCCAGCCAGGACCCTGCAGCGAGTTGTGTGCCACCTGTGTGACAGGATTGTCACCAGAGGCAGCGTGGGAGCTGTGGCTGGACCCATCAACCCCCATCCTTGGCCTCGAGCCGTGTCCTGGAGAGGGAGCCCGACTCCCGGCTCTGCCCACTCCCTGCCATTGGGAGGAATCCCTGGAAGGTTGTTTCTCACTGTAAGAAACTTCTATCTTTTTAATCCCAGATAGAAAAAGACCTGGATTTATTGTATCCTGGAGCTCTCTCTGTTGTTATAAAACATCTTTATGTAGCTGCCTTTCTTATCAAGGAAGAATGAATGATGTTTTCTTCCCATCCGTTAGGCTTGGCTGATATTTTACTGCTAAGTGGAAGCATTAACCCCCTCACCTGCTCTTTTCTCTTACTTGAGGATTTATGTCACTGCTGTGACCTTGGGAGGGTTCTGGTGTAAGGAGCAGCTGCTTCAGTTTTTTTCCAAAAGCCAGCAGCTTTTGGGCATGGCCCTTGGGGACTTTAGTCTTGATTAATGGTTGTCCTTCAGCCACAAAATATGTCCGTGAAACTATCCTAGCCTTCCTCCTTCTTATCCTGCTTCTCTGATGGAAATCAGCACCTGCCCCAGGCCAAGTAAACTCTGGAGGGCCCCGGGACAGCTCAGAGGTGCCCAGCTGCTGCTCTGGTTCCTCCTGACCCTTGGGGAGGGTTTGCTGGCAGGTGCTTGAGATGTTTAGTGCAGCATCCCTGCTCTCCTCCTCCCCATCCCGCTGTGCCGGCTGCTGTGAGCAGTTGGAGGTGTCCCTGCCAGCAGAATTTCCTTGGGAAGCAATCAATTTTGTTATCTGTTGGAGTGCATGGGGAAGATTGAATCTCTGTGGGATGTTTTTCGAGCTTCTGGGAAAGGGATTTGGGGTGGTGTGTCCGCAGCTGGCCTTGGGTAGTGCAGAAGAGCTGCCTGTGGAGAAGCACCGCTGCTCCATCCCTGCGAGCAGGGCCTCCCCCTCCTCTGCTCGGGGCTGGGCACAGCTCGTGGGAGGGATTTCTGACTGACAGCGAGGAAAGAGGCAAGAGAGCATGTGAGGGAAAGGAGCTGGACCTGGGAAAGGCAGGGGGAAGTTTTGTTACTCCCCTGGACCGCAGGGAAGCTGCTCCGGTGCGTGTGTGTGCGGGAGTTCCTCCGGAGGAAGGTGGATGCCTGCACCTCTGTGGATGGAGTGAAGGATCACCCTGCCTGCTTCGGGAAGAGCCCCTGGGAGGTGAGATTCTCCTGCCAGCAGAGCACCCCTCCTTCCTCCTCCTCCTTCCCCTTGCCAAGGGCTGGATTTCAAAGTGCCTTGGGAAGAGGATCACAGCTCCGGAGCAGCTCAGCCCACATGGGGCTGCTCTGCTGGGCACAACCCAGGTCTTGTGAGCCCCCAGGTCCTCGAGCTTTGTCAGGAAACAAATCCCAGAAGGAAAAGTCACTTCAGTGCATTTCACTGCGAGCAAACGAGCATGAGAAGCCAGGTTTGGTTTGGGGGAAAATCCAGCTGCAACCTGCACTGTAATTTCCAATGGAGTGAAGAAACTCGCTGAGCGGAATTCGAGAGGGAGGAAGCATCCAGGAAGGATAAATCCGCTCTCTCCTGCGAGGAGTCCCCTGAGCTCCGATAACTTTGTCCTCTGCAAGGAGGGACACTGGCGAGCTGGGAGCAGGAGGCAGCAGGAGCCTGTGGGGAGGAGGACGCGTGGAGCTGTGCTGGAGGAGGCTGTGGGATTCCGGGATAACCGCTGGAAGCACCTGGAGGCAGAGGAGCGGCTGCGATGGAGTTTCCTGCCGTGGCACTGTCACTCATCGTGGCGCTGCGAATGTCTCCGCTGGCTGCTGGGACCAAACTGCAGCCCCACATGTGAGTAGGAAGAAAGAGTTCCGGAGGGTTTTTTTTCGGGCAGGGAATGGAAAAGCAGGAGCCAAATGCAGTGTTTTCAAATCAAGGGTGAAGCAAAGAGCAGAGAGTGAAGGGGCAGAGGGGAGCAAGCTGTGCTGTTTCTTTATTTACTATTAGATGTGCAGAAAGGGGAATAGAAAATTGAAAATGTGGATAGTCTTTTCTTGTAGGAGGGAACTCCTTGGTTTAGCTGAAAGTGTTGTCTGAATAGGAGAGATGATTCCTGTGTGAATACTTTGCCCTTTCTTCCAAGACCTGCTGCTTTTATTTCACTTCTCAAATCTTTCTTATTCCACGTTCCTCCCCTCCCGCTGCCGTTACTCCAGCAGCACGTAGGCTGCTCTTTTTAATTACATTTTACAGTTACAGTTTGGTGTTAATCATTTGGCTGCTCTGGAAAACTTCCTTGCAAATTTGGCCTCCTGCCAGAAGATGGTCTCTCAGAGCCAGGGGATCACTGTAATTCCCTTTGTCCATGGAGCTGGTGTGGTGTGGGGTGAAGACTCCAAGCTGCCCTCCTCGAGGGGTTTCATTCTTTTAAAAAAAGCGTGTCCTTTAGAAGATAAAGGTTTTGGGATAAGTGGCTTTTCCTCCCCATGTCAGGGTTTTGTGCTCCTGCCCTGACAGTTACTTTCAGGATTTCTTGGACGGGGCACTGGAGCCCTGTGCCAGCACGCCGGGGTTGGAACTGAGCAGCCTGGAGAAGTTGGATGCCAGCTGTGACCTCTAAGCTTCACCACGTCCAAATTAGTTATTGCCTTTTTTTTTTTTTTTTCTTTTTTAAACAGAAAGTATCTGTAAGAAACTCTGGGTCCTGTTAGAAGCAGCAGAAGCAGTCCCAAATACCAAGTGGCTCATGGAGTCAGGGAGAAATGTTTCACGCTTCATCCTTAGTTAAACCCACTGACTTGTGCATGGAGAAAGTTAGGATTAGAAAAGAAACAAAGTACATTTCTTTGATTTATTGGAATTAGCCTCACAGCCCTTAGCTCTGAATGAGCATGAAACCACCCCTGTGGCTGGTCGGCCTGGCACTGTTTCTTTTCCCTGCAGTGATTTAACTCATTGAGGAGGTGGATGCAGGGGATTGCCCAAGCCCTTCCTGCCCTGCCAGCAGGAAATCCAGGAGCACTGCACCCCTTGCAGCTGTGAGCCCCTGTCTTGGTTTGAACAGACAGGTGTCTGCTAAGGAAGGCAGGAGCTTTCCTTGAAATTAAAAAATGTAAACCCCCTCCCTCCGAATTGTTATAATTTTGAAAATAAAGGCTCTCAGGCAAAGATATGGGAATAGGAATAACAATTCTTTACTAGGAAAATTAAAATACAAATGCAGTAGTACAAACGAAGGAAAAAAATCTACTGACAGAGTTAGAATCTGACCTGAAAGCCTGTGGGTCAGGGAGGTGGCAGCAGCCCCATCCCAGGGTGGCTCAGCCCTCCTGCAGTGCCAGCTGTGCTTCTGCTGGAGCAGGATCCTGCACAAGGGGGGAGTTTTCCTCTGGAGCTCCAGGGCTGGGGGAGATGGGCCTGGGCTCCTCTGGGAATGCAGTGGGGAGAAAGCTGCTCCTCTGGGAATGCAGTGGGAAGAAAGCTGCTCCTCTGGGAATGCAGTGGGGAAGAAAGCTGCTCCTCTGGGAATGCAGTGGGAAGAAAGCTGCTCCTCTGGGAATGCAGTGGAAGAAAG